AATTATTTTGGGTTAGTAAGACTAGTGGAGGATAGTATGGTAATTTCATGTTGTCTTAAGACCAAAATCCAAACAAATACATTAGTTGTTGTTTTATGAGAGATAGAAGTATCATAATATTAAAACACATAGAGAGAGAGAGAGAGAGAGCAAGAGAAAGAGGTCTTAGAAGAGAAGAGGAGCAAGAGCTAGCTTGGGTTTTGGGTTGGAAGAACAAGAATCATTTCAAACATTTAAGGTAAGAGGTTTGATTTTCCAATGCTTATAGTTAGGGTTTGATTTGGTATATTTTGATTTGAGATAAAATTGATGTTAGGATTTTTAAGTTTTGTTGAGGATTTGTGATAGAAATTAGAAGAGTTAATTAGGTGTTGTTGTTGTTGAATTAGTATTAGGTTAGTTAAATTGGAATTAAAAAGAAAATAGAGATTATATTAATTAAATTAAGTTTTGAAAACTAAAAGCAAAATTATGCAGTAAGTATATTATTGGAAGTTAAGCTTCTAAAGCCAAGTTTTAGCAGTATGCATTAATAAAATGAAATTTAGAAAGAAGCACTAGCAGTACTAATAAGATGAAGTTAGAAAACTAATAAACTAGCAGTAGAACTTATAAATAGTATAACTTATAAACTAAGCTAGCACTTATAAATAGTATAACTTATAAACTAAGCTAGCAGTAGAGTTAAGTTAATAGAAAACGAAAAGATGCAGTATGGAATTAACGCAAATGGAAGTATTTCATTGAAATGAAGTTTTAGTTTATTGGCAATAGTAAGTAACAGTATGCAATTGAAATGAAGTTTGAGAAACTAAAGTAAAATAGCAGTAAGTTTAGAAATTATTTAATTTATGTTTTTTTTTTCTTTTCTTAATTTAATATATTAAATATTTATATTAATTAAATACAAATATGACATAAGTTAGCCGATTTAATTTGGAACCCGATTATGTTTCGATTTCTCGATTTTGGTAATTTCGGCGATCGAGCAAGTTGCTCCGAATTTAACGAAAATTGACGTGCTAGCTAATTTTGACGTGTAGAACATCGTGATGAGGTTAGTTTTTCGAGATTACGAGTTTTTAACGGAGCGACCCAAAATAAGTCAATTTACGGTTAAGTTGAATCGGGTTGCGTTTTAGTCGGTTTAAGTCACGTATGGATAATCCGATTGCGACGTTAACGATTATAATTGATGCAGATTATTATGAATGACTTTCACGACGATTATTGATGTTTGACTATTTTTCCGTGTTTGAAATTTAGTGAATTATTTGATAATGATGTGGTGTGATTAAACATGATGTTTGTGACGGTTTATTTATAATGAATACTTGATGATATGCGATGCGATGATATGTTTATCTTGATGTGGATGAATATGGAGACGTGGGTTTTATACCAATTTTGATGTGCGATGATGATGTTTTGTTGTGTCGTGTTTGTGATGTCGTGTTGTCGAGTCACATACATTGCATTGGCGACGAGGGCTTTTATACCAAACGACGAGGGCTTTTATGCCAAAGCGACGATGCGCTTTTATGCCGAATGTCCCTAATTATGGACAAAGCGACAGGTACCACATGCATAACATAGTCGTGTCTCATGGAGTCGGTTATGTTTATTTTTGAGTCTTTTGGCGTTGAGCTTTATTTGATGGCTTATAATGAATTGCGATGTTATATGATACCTTGTTTTGTGATGATTTTTGTGTTGAACATAAAGTGATTATGATGTGATAATTTCATGAAAATTATGCGATGGATATAACATGACGGTAAAACGACGATATGAGTTTATGGTGATGGAGTTTATGTCTTGTTTTGACATGATTATGGTGATTATGTGATGATATTAAAGTGTTGATCTTGTACACTAAATGATGATTTTAAAGTATGTGAGATTTGATATTTGTTGACATATTCTTATTAATCTATATCATTTATGATTCCAAAACTATTCATATATTTCATCATGCCTTTAATTATATGTTTTGGAGTATCTCACCCTTTACCTGTTTCGCCGTTGCCTTTATATTGGTAATGTGCAGGTGATCAGCGAGGATGATGAGTATTAGCTCGAGTCTCTTTATTTTGAGTCGCTCTGCTCTGATAGTAGTAACACTCAGGATTTGGGCGACGTTATTATTTTGATAGGATAGTTTATGTATACTATCCTATGACTTTATGTATTGATGATAACATGATGATACGTACATTTTGTGAACACATCCGCTGTGCTGTGATTAGTCATATGTTTATATGATGATTTATGTTATGAATCGGTATATCCGACTTTTGATTTTGTGATGTGCATTATAATGAAAAATGATGAAAAACACGAATATGTGATACCTCAATTTATGTTTGGATGAAATTTTGAAACTCTGATTTTATTATTAATTACGAGGGGTAGAATTAGGGTGTTACAATGATGACCCAACCCAATACAAAAGACTTATTGGGTCATTAAGATACATTTGTCACACAAGGTCTGACTTAGCGTACAATGTAGGTATAGTAAGTAGATTCATGCAAAAGCCAAAGGTGTCACATCTAGCAGCAACGAAGAGGATACTAAGGTATCTGAAAGGAACTTTCAACTATGATGTTTTGTTTTATGTAGTTGATAAAGAAAAAAATGAAAGTTAGTGGGGTACACTGATTCAAGTTGGTGTAATGATGTTGATGATCGAAAATACATAATTAGTTATGTGTTTATGCTAGGTGGTGCACCAGTTGCTTGAAGTTCGAGAAAGGAATCACTAGTGAAATTATTATCGTGCGAAGCAAAGTACATATATGCTTCTCTTTGTGCATGTCAAGCAACATAAATGATGAATTTGAACGAAAAGATAACAAGGAAGGATAATGGAGCAATTACCATGAAGATCGACAACATGTCAGCTATCAACTTGTCGAAGAATCTGATAGCACATTGTCAAAGCAAGCACATCAAAATGAGGTTCCACTATCTTTATGAGCAGGTAGCAGATGGGAAGATGAACTTAGAAAACTGCAGAACTGAGAATCAGATTGCAGACATGATGACTAAAGGTGTGCAGGTCGAAGTGTTCAGAAGACTAAGAGATATGATGAATATAGATAGCTTAGACACAATGAACTAGGTGGTGTGTTGAAAGTGTAATTCCTTGTGTCGAAGCAGGTTGTTGTTCGACACAAGGTGTGTCGAAGCAGGTTGTTACTCAACACAAGGTGTGTCGAAGCAGGATGTTGCTCGACACAAGGTGTGTTCAAAATCTTAGTCTGTAGAGTTGTATGTAGTTGTTGAAGTGTTATAAACAAGTTGCTACACACATATTCAATTTAGATCTCAAATAGGTATTTTGGACTTTTGTATTTTGTGGACAGAGAAAAACTCTGCAGAAACTCTAATCTCTTTTCTTTAAATTTTCTTTTTCTTTTCATTGTCATTGTGTAGTAATAACAATATTATTCAACAAGACTGATAGAAATTTATCATAATTTTTTTTGGTGAATTTCCAAAAAAAAAAGTATGGTTGATGGAAATTATGAGGACCAAGGACAATAGTGTTGAGTATCTCACATTAACTAGTGATGTGGGGAAAAGGGGGGGCATTCACCCTATGATAGCTTTTGAGTTGAGTTATGCCTGAATTCAAATTCTAAGACATCTAAGTTCATACGAGGGATCTATCATCTATACATAATATATGGTGATTTCATTCTAGTGATTACCATTCATAAGCATGATGCACATGTGTAAATGAAAATCGAAACATGTGTGCCGGAAAAGTAAAAAGTAATAAAGTTTATATTATAAATGGTTTCTGTCTCGTTTAGTATGTTCTAGGACCACAAGAGATAGACACTTCATCACAATCCAAAACCTTAAGGTGTTAGATAACTAGGTGCTCTCTCTTATAAATCCAACATTCCCTGCATAGGGAATGTGAGACTTATTAGTTATTATTGCCAAGAAATGACAGTTTGGTTACTCGGCACTTGTTAGGTAAAAGGAGCATTAATTTGTGTATTGTGCGGTTATAAGAATTACATCATTTCATCATCTCAGAAGACCAACAGTCTATCAAAAGCCAGAGAACATGTAATGACGTTTTATTTTTTGTTATGTGTCTTGCAAATGAAAACAGTCTATCAAAAGCCAGAGAACAAGTAATGACATTTTATTTTTTGTTATGTGTCTTGCAAATGAAAACAGTCTATCAAAAGCCAGAGAACATGTAATGACATTTTATTTTTTATGTGTCTCGCAAATGAAAACAGTCAACTGTTGGAACGGAGTTTTCTCCGGAACTTTTTTAACATTACCAAAAAATATTTAAACGCCAAAATATGCAAATAATCAGTTTAGTGAAAGTGCCATTGTATCTAAGAAGAAGTGTGCCGGAGAAAATATCTATTGTATTTGAAGGGAAAAGAACTCACAAGATTATACAAACCAAAGCCATCATGATTGATATTCCCAGCATAATAAACAAGGAAGTAAACTGCAAAAATATATATTTATAAGACCCGACAATTTCCTTGTCAATTGTCATACTCTTCACTATATCAGTCACACAAGCGCGCAAAAATAATGAGAACTCGACTCAGATGATTTTTACCTGAAAATATGATATAAAATATTTGTTGCAAGCACCGTATAATACAACCTAGTACAACAATCTGCAAACATGAAAAAGAGACTAATGTTCACATAGATACAAAAAAAAGTAGGTGTGTAAAATGAATGAAATTGAGCTAGTGGCAAACATGTGAGGCAGAGCAGAGAAACTACCAATTGAGAATTTAAGAAATCCACGTTCTGTTCACCTCACGATGTCTCAGATATGAGAATTTTGACAGGTGTTTCATGCAGATCTGTTCTTTCAGCATTCGACAATCATAGATTTGAATTTTTGTTAGAGAGGAAGGAAACCTTTCTCCCGCCATATTCTCCAACTTGGGACATTTTTCAATTGTTAATACTTCAAGGGACGTCAGGGAGAGAAGCTCCTAACACTCCAATGTGCGCAGACTTGACAAATTACGTAGAGTCAGATAGATAAGAGAGGGAGGCAGCATTGCAAAACCCTTTTTGGGGAAGGACTCAACACCATCACATGGACCTTCAATTTCAAGATTGGTAAGCATGTCCATCAAAGTAAGAGACGGGCTGCTCATTAATTTATCGCAATTCACCATACAAAGTGTTCTCAAGCTAGGCGGCATACTGTTAGGGATTTGATTTCTATTCTATTCAACAGAGAAAACTAAAGCTATCTAGGGAATGAAAAATACACTTTCTTCTTATTTCCTCAAATCATTCTTACAGAGATATATATAGCCAGTGAGTAACGGCTTGATACAATTGTAAGGTGATCCGCAATTTAAGGAAAATGGGTGCTGAATAGCACATGCTAATAACAAACTATGGAATCTAATGCAGGTGAAAAATAGAAGCTTCTATTCCCTTCTTTATGCTGTCACAAAGTCATCAAGATAACTTGGCTTCTTGTGAATCCTCTTAGGTGGGCCTGGGTCAGTATTCTTGTTATCCAGTAGGTTAGGCCCATAATTACTAACATCTCCCGGTTCTTCAAAATGCACCTTGTCCTCAAGGTGATAGGTAGAAATAAGCTCATCCCAATTTTCCCAGCTAGTTTCCTCCAAAGGAAGTCCAAGCCATTGGACTAATGCTCTTTTTGTTGGAGGATTAGTTGTCTGATCCAATTGAGTTTTGAGGATGGCAAGAGGAGTGATGATTGGATGGTTGGTAATGGAAGACGGGGGAAGTGAGTTAATAGAAGGGAGAGGGCCTTGATGGAGCTTCAGTTTGGAGCAATGAAAAACAGGGTGAATTTGAGAAGACGACGGCAAATCTAAGCGATACGCAACTGGTCCAATCCTTTCCAGAACTTTGAAAGGTCCATAAAAACGCTTGGAAAGTTTGGAAAATGAAGCAGTGGCTACAGTTTTCTGGCGGTAAGGGCGGAGTTGAACATAAACATAATCATCAACATTGAAAACAATGGGACGACGTTTCCGATCAGCAAAGTATTTCATGCGTTCCTGGGCTTTGTGGAGGGTGGATTGAAGCTTGGTTAACAGTTGTTGACGTGAGGATAAAATGGAGTCAACAGCTTCGATTGTGGATGAGTGATTGATGTAATGAGGGATAGAAGGTGGTTCACGGCCATAAGTAATTTGAAATGGAGTTAAGCCAGTAGCGGAATGTAAGGAGGTGTTGTATGACCATTCTGCCAGCGGAAGTAATTGGGACCACATTTTCGGTTGATGGTGAATGAACGATCGAAGATAGTGTTCTAACACTCTGTTATAGGACTCAGTTTGGCCGTCAGTTTCGGGGTGGTAGGCGGTACTCATACGAAGTTTAGTTCCACTTAATGTAAACAGCTCGCGCCAGAATTTACTAACAAAAACACGGTCACGATCCGATACTAAGCTGCGAGGAAAACCGTGTAGTTTGCAGACTTGTTCAAGAAAAACAGTAGCAACTTTGTGAGCAGTGAAGTTTGTGGGTAAAGGAGCTAAGTGCACTCCTTTGGAGAGACGATCCACAACAACAAGTATCACAGTGAAGCCATTAGAGGGTGGTAAGTCAGTAATGAAATCAAGGGATAAATCTTCCCAAACAACAGAAGGGATTGGGAGTGGCTGCAGCAGACCTGAAGGCTTCTTGGTGTCGTATTTCACTTGCTGGCAAATCAAGCATTGGGAGACAAAGGTTTGGACATCCTGCTTCATGCGGTCCCACCAAAAATTGGCTTGAAGTCTAGCCAAAGTTTTATTTACTCCCATGTGACCGGCAATAGGTGAACTGTGGAATTCCTCTAAAAGTGTAGTACAGAAAGGAATGGTTCGATCCAGCCAAATACGCCCCTTGTAGAGTATGAGGCCATCATGAAGCTGATGGTGAGGAAAGGAAGAAGGGTTGGTAGTAATATCCGTCAGCAGTGTGTTGAATGCTGGGCTGGAAGCCAAAGCTTGCTTGAGCTGATCTAAAAAAACAAAGTTAGGCATAGTGAGAGAGAGAATAATACCTTAAGCTGAATCTGAACGACGAGAAAGTGCATCAGCGACAACATTAGTTTTCCCTGATTTGAATTGAATAGTATAATCATATCCCATTAATTTGGCAAGGTAAACATGTTGTTCGGGGGTTTGAATAGCTTGGGAAAGAAGTTCTTTTAAGGATTGGTGGTCGGTGAAAATGGTGAAATGATGGCCGAGAAGGTATTGGCGCCATTTCTTAACAGCAGTGGTAATGGCATGGAGTTCACGGATGTAAGTGGATGAGCGTTGTAATCGGGGGCAAAAGGGTTTGCTAAAGAAAGCAATAGGATGTGAATCTTGCATGAGCACTGCTCCCATAGCAATACCGGAAGCATCAGTTTCGAGGGTGAAGGGTTTGGTGAAATCTGGGAGTTGTAATGTAGGTGCTTCAATCATGGCTTGTTTGAGGGTTTCAAAAGCAGATTGTGCAGCAGTAGACCAGCAAAATGCATCCTTTCTTAATAAAGCGGTCAAGGGAGAGGCAATGGCTGCATAAGTCTTAATGAATTTGCGATAGAAGCCTGTTAAGCCAAGGAATCCACGAAGTGATTTTAGGTTTTGAGGTGCCGGCCAATCAACCATAGCCTGTATCTTTGTGGGATCAGGGTGAACACCACTAGGGGATACAATATGACCCAAATACTCTAATTGGCGTTGGGCAAAAATGCATTTGGACCTTTTAAGAAAGAACGATCCTGCAAGTAGGGTGGTGAAGATAGTTTCAAGGTGTATAAGGTGGTCTGGAAAGGTAGGGCTGTATATGAGGATGTCGTCGAAAAACACAGCGACGAATTTGCGAAGAAATGGCTGGAGAAGGTCATTCATGGAGGCTTGGAATGTGGAAGGGGCGTTGCAAAGGCCAAATGGCATAACCCGAAATTCATAATGGCCTTGATGTGTGCGGAAAGCGGTCTTGTGCGTATCATCAGGGTGCATACGGATTTGATGGAAGCCCTGAACAAGGTCAAGTTTAGTGAACCAAGTGGCACCACCGAGTTCATCAAGCAGTTCATCAATGGTGGGCATAGGAAAACGATCTCGTACGGTGATGGCATTGAGGCCACGATAATCAACACAGAAACGCCAACTGCCGTCTTTCTTTTTCACTAGGAGTACAGGAGAGGAAAACGGGCTATGGCTGGGTTGTATCATATTAGACTTGAGCATTGTTTGGATTTGTCTCTCAATTTCATTTTTTTGTGAGTAAGGGTAACGGTACGGGCGCACATTAACAGGAGATGAATTGGGAAGTAGGTGAATATGGTGGTCAATAGGCCGTTGAGGTGGAAGGGAAGGTGGCGGATTAAAGAGGGTGGAGAATTTTAGAAGTAATGGTTCTAGTTTGTGTTCATAGGATGCAGGGAGGGTGTTTGGGGTAGGGATTGTGGGGTTTGAAAAAGCTTGGATGTGAAAAAGTTCGGATGCAGAGTGGGTAGTGATGCATTGCTTGAGTTGTTGGGCTGAAATAGGGTTGGGCTTGGAGGGTGAATTAGCAGTGAAGGTAATGGGTTGGCCTTTTAGGGTAAATGAGATGGATAGTTTGGTATAATCCATAAGAACTGGGCCAATTGATTTGAGCCATGGAGCACCCAGAACAATGTCTGCACCACATAACGGTAAAAGGTGTAAATCGATAGTGAAGGGGGTGTTTTGAATAGTGAGGTTTACATCTTCACAAAGGTGTATGCATTCTAACAAACTACCGTTACCCACCATAACTTTGAGTGGTGGTGTTGGAATTGAAGGGAGTTCTAGGAATTTGGCTAAACGGACTTGGATAAAATTATGCGTGCTACCACCGTCGATAAGAACAGTGACAGGATGATGATGAATGTGACCAGTGAGGCGAATAGTCGCCGCGGCGGAGCAACCGGAGAGGGCGTGAAGGCTGATTAAAGCTTCTGATGAGTCAATGGTTGAGGTGGTGTCAGGTATCGGGTCGGGTTCTGGTTCGGTGGCTGATACATCATCAGAAATGAGTAAATGAAAACGGGCTTTGCAACGGTGTTGGGCGGAGAAGGTTTCGTCACAATTATAACAGAGATTCTTTTCTCGGCGAACAGCCATTTCTTCTTGGGAGAGTTTGCGAAAGGTGGGTCGTGGTGTTGGGGTGGGTGAGGGAAGCGCCAGAGTGGTGGGTGGTGTGGTGGTGTTGAGGGTAGTTTGGGAATTAAGGAGAATTGGAGAAGGTTTTACCTTAAAGTGACGGCGACGATCCTCAATTTTGTCCTCTTGAAGTTTTGCTAAAGCGGTGGCGTGAGAGAGAGATATCGGACGGAGAGCCTGAACCTCGCGGCGGATCTCCGGTATCAAACCGGAAATAAAACAGCTGAGGAAGAAAGGAGGTTGAAGACCAACGATTCGATTTGCTAATTTCTCAAACTCTGCTAAATACGAGTTCACAGAACCACGTTGTGTGAGTTTGAAGAGAGCGCTGGCTGGTTCATCATAGAACGTTGGAGCAAAACGGTTTTCCAGAGCTTGAAGAAGACCGTACCAGGTGGTGATTTGACCGCTGCGATACATCCATTGGTACCAACCGAGTGCTGGTCCGTCCATGTAGAAGGAGGCGACAGTGAGTCGGTCGACTTCAGGGGTCTGATGGTAATCGAAAAACTGCGAGATCTTGAAGATCCAACCGGTTGGGTCGGTTCCGTCGAACTTGGGTACATCGAGCTTCATGCGTGGGGGGTTGAGGGCGGTGTTTAGGGGTTGTGGTTGTTGAGGAATTTCGGTTGGAGTGGGATGAACAGTGAGGGTGGCTAGTTGGTCAAGGATAGCATCAACTTTAACGGTGAGGTCGTCTAGACGTTCAGCGTTTGTGGGTCGAGCTGCCATGGAAGAGGGGAGTTTGTGCAATGAAAGCACCAAATTGTTAGGGATTTGATTTCTATTCTATTCAACAGAGAAAACTAAAGCTATCTAGGGAATGAAAAATACACTTTCTTCTTATTTCCTCAAATCATTCTTACAGAGATATATATAGCCAGTGAGTAACGGCTTGATACAATTGTAAGGTGATCCGCAATTTAAGGAAAATGGGTGCTGAATAGCACATGCTAATAACAAACTATGGAATCTAATGCAGGTGAAAAATAGAAGCTTCTATTCCCTTCTTTATGCTGTCACAAAGTCATCAAGATAACTTGGCTTCTTGTGAATCCTCTTAGGTGGGCCTGGGTCAGTATTCTTGTTATCCAGTAGGTTAGGCCCATAATTACTAACACATACCCCCTTCAGGGGACGTGTCAATTTCTGGGCAATCGATAATACTCATAATTTGTAACTTTGGGTGAAGAGTATTTATGTGACAACGTAATGACTTTAAATTAACACAGTGGGAGACATCTAGCATTATCAAGTTGGGTGCAGACAATCCTTCTCTTGGGAATGAATCAAATTTGGAGCAGTCTCTGATATTAATAATTTCGAGATTTATAGGGTCTTCGAAGCAGAAAGATATCCTAAGTTTTCACAATGAGTAATGTAAAGATAAAATAGATTCGGAAGGGCATCTAGTGAGAGGGTTGTGAGAGAATCACAACTCCTTTCGATATACAAATACTTAAGTGAGTTGTGTTGCTGGTTTTGATTTGGGAAAATTAGATTTCTACAACCCTTAATAGTCAAACTCGATAAGGAAGCAGGTAAACAATCTCCCAGAAATGATATTATGGACGAATAATCTCTGATATCCATAACTCGAAGAGATGTTGGTAGGGTGATGGAAATGGCTGCAAAGACAGACTCTGTCACGTGTCTTCCTTTAAGTCTTAACTCTTCTAATGAAAGGGGTAGTTCATGCAAGGCTACTTTATTGCCATCAAATACCTTTAATTTGCATAAGGCAGGAGCCCATGGGAGAGTAGAAGTAAGCTGGTCACATTTTTCAATTTGAATTATTTCCAAAGCAGGAAGATGAGATGGAAAATATCCCTTTAGTGTTAGATCTTTAGGTATGATAATCCTGGATAACTTCGAAGAATCGTGTTCGTACACTTTCCGAACAAAGTATTTCGACCTTATTCTTGCCTGGGTTCACGAAATTTTAGTGGGGATAATTCTCGAAGAACAATCTATTTCTGGCAAAAGAAACTGATTACAAATGTAGAGAGAAAGTGTCGTTTTTCGTATTTGAAACTGAGGCCAAATGACTCCTTATATAAGAGATCAATAACTGAAACCGAAAAGACACACCTGTTCGGAAAAACGGTTATGTCGGTTGGGGCGCCCCTTGGACCCCAACGGGGTGCTGCCCCGCACCCCGCCAGGGGCTTCGCCCCTTGGAACCCCAATGGGGCGCTGCCCCGTACCCCGCCAGGGGCTTTGCCCCTTGGAACCCCGTTTCAATTATTCATATTCAATTATACATTGACTCGACGAGCGTGCACTCCGCACTTCCCTAACTCGTTTCCAAGCTTAACGCATAATTGCATCGGCCTTTAGTAAATCACATTACTACTAAAATACATTGGTGATACTAAAATCACCAACATTTAGTCTAGGACAATCCTTAATCAAAAGGGACTTTAGTACCAGAAAAAAGGAATCTGAATCATGGGGATGATACCATACTTCCCAACATGGCATGTCATCAAACTCAAGACATTCAAGGGAGGGAAAGGATGTCCCAGAAAAGGTATCATCATATTCTAATACAATAGACTCCAGAATACACATATCCTCAATAGTCCCCTTGAAGGAAGAATACAACAATTTGGACAACGAGATAAAGATAATTTAGTCAAATTGTGGTAGGAAGGATCTCCAAACCATTCTGGATATCCATCAATTTCTAGCATTTTTAGGTTCTTGGTAGGTTGTAACTTGCCAAGGATATCCATCTCACTTTGTGAATTTGTAAAATGGTCTTTTGCATCTTGAGTCCATACAACAGTAATTCTTCAAGGTACTTCTTATCCATTATCTTTTCCTCAGTTGCTTAAAAGTTGTTGGTGACATTCTCTAATTTCTTGATTGAAAGTGATCCGTGAAGATTTGAAAGTGATCCTAGTTCCTTGATCCCTTTCTCCTCATGCTTGCCCACGACAAACTAGGTTAAATGTTGCAAGTGTGTTATCTTTCTCATTTCACTAGGCATCTCTTGTAAGTTAGTACCTAAAATATCAATATGGCGCAAATTTACAAGATTTTGCATGTCGTTGGGAAGCGTGGTTAGTTCTCGACAACCTCTCAACTTCAACGTTTGTAGATTATACAAATTACACAATGAATCTGGTAATGACTTCATAGCTGTGAAAGAGAGATCCAAATAACGCAAATGGATCAATTCACCAATCCAATTAGGAAAAGCATCAAGATCTTCAAAGCTTTGAAATGACAATACTCTCAGCTTCTTCAAATCAACAAAATGAAGCAAGACACTTTTTCATGGTATAATGGAGTATACCCTAAATTGATTGTCAAAAATGTCCTAAGATGTCCAACTCTACCAAAAATATCAAAGTTTTCTAGGACTGGATCACTGAACTTGCTAAATGGTAAATGATTGTTAGCAAATCTGATAACTGGCTTCTATATTAGAATGAAATGTTGCTATATAAATAGTTTACAAAAAGTGAACTGAATGTTTTCTAAGAATCAGGGTCACTAAGTCATACTTGACTTTCTACAATTTAGGCATAATTAAAACTAACAATCATGATCCTCTCACGATCAATAGAGACTAAGTAAGTTACATATAGCAAATAACAATTAATATTAATATTAATAATAACATAACAATTCTCCTTCTAAATTAGATTGTTTAGTTTATCTCTGAGATGTCACATACGCCAAGCTTCTTCCTGAGCTATTGAAAGACTTCAAGCTTTAGAAGCTTAGTAAAGATATCAGCTATCTTCTATTTGGTCTCACAATAATTCAATTGAACATTTTCTTCATTTACTAAATCACAGAGGAAATGAAAGCGCACATCAATATGTTTGCTCTTGTCATGCATAACCGGGTTCTTTGAGAACTTGATGGTTGAACTGTTATCACAAAAAATCACTGGACTTTTTCTTCCATTGTAGTCCAACTTGGACAACACCCTCTTCATCCAAATCAGTTGGCAGGCACAAGCTGACACAACTACGAATTCTGCTTCGGTGGTGCTAAGTGTGACTATAGGTTGTTTCCTTGATGACCATGCCACCACTGCATTGCTAAGTATAAAGGCATAGCCCGAGGTTCTTTTTCTGTCATCGATACATCCGGCATATTCGATGTATGTGTATCCCACAAGCTCCTTATTGCCTGATCTTTGATAGAAAATCCCAAAACACATAGTTCCTGGCACATACCTCAGTATTCTCTTTGCTTCCATAAGGTGCATCTCAGTTGGATTGACCATATATCTACTGACTACACTAACTGCATACATCAGATCCGGCCTGGTAGTGGTCAAATATATCAAACTATCAACAAGTTACTTGAACATGGAGTTGTTTACAGTCACACATCTATCATCTTTATCAATTTTAACCCCATGAACAATAGGATTTAGGACCAAGTTGTTTTTATCCATCCTAAACTTCTTCAAGACTTATTTGGCATATCTCTTTTGATAGATGAAGATTCCACTGTCAAGTTGCATAACCTCTAAGCCAAGGAAGTAGTGCATTCTCCCGAGACCAGTCATTTCAAATTCCTCATCATTGATTGTTTGGATTCTTTCAACATAGCTTCACCATTCCAGGTATAAATCAAATCATCAATATATAGGCTAACAATAAAATGCTTCCTTTATTGATTGATCTTGGTGAACAAGGTTTGTTCGCTTGATTCTTTATCAAAGCCCATGTTTCTGAAGTATGCTTCAATTCTTCTAAACCAAGCTCTCGGTGCTTGTTTAAGGTCGTATAAAGCTTTCTGGAGCTTGTATACCTTAGTCGTCTCATGATTCACTTCATATCCTTTTAGTTGATCAACATACACCTCCTCTATAAGTTCACCTTGTAAGAATGCGGACTTCATGTCCAGCTGATACACAACCCAACTTCGTTGTGTGGCAAGAGCCAATATCATACGCATGGTGTCTAGCCTTGCCACTGGCGCGTATACTTCTTCATAATCAATTACGTATTGTTGCGTATATCCCTTTTATATTAAGCGAGCCTTATACTTGTCAATCTCACCATGTTGATTCAATTTTATTTTATACACCCATTTGACCCCTATGCTTGTGACTCCCTTTGGCAATCCAACTAGAGTCCAGGTGTGATACGGTGGCAGAACCGGAACTGTTTTAGGAAAATGTTAGTTTGCATTTTGCGTTTGTGTTTGCAAAATTTCGCAGTAAGCAAGAGTCGCCACTGACTTTTATTTTATCCAACAAGGAAAGGAAAAAAGCACAGAAAAATTCCTTTTTTCGAGATTTTCTGAGTACAGGGGGTAGATTATAGAAAGGGAAGGTATTAGCACCCTTTCTATCTGTGGTTTTCCATGGGCTCTTAGGTATTTTCTCATCATTTTGAAAAATGCTTCTTTGTGTGTTTGTGCGATTTGAAAAGTTTTTGTTTGACTTCGATTTAACCCTTGCTTCTGTCTTCAAGAGTGTTACGAAGTTGTTTTGAAAACTTTGTTTGAAAAGGAGTGTAAGTGTGAAAAATTTGTTTGTTTTGAGCAATTACTTAAGAACTAATCTACCTACTCGAAAAAAGAATTGTTTTATGTTCGTTTCCTTTAGACAGCGCTATCCCACTATTAGTGAGTAGGTAGCACCGTCGTTGGAGTTTTGCGGGTCAATTCGAAAAGGAACATATGATCACTAAAGCAATGTTAGGACGTCTTAGTAATAACCATAATGTCTTAAGATCAATATTCGAGGCAACTATTCCGAGACGACCTTTCCGAGGCAACTTTCATCTTTGAGACAAAAGGGCGACCACTAAAATATCCTATACTCAATGACCGTTTACCGAAGGCAACCGAAGTGGGAGTATACCCTAGGAGTACGCATGTGCGAGTGATTCAATTTCAAGTTTATTATCTTTGCACATTTAGGGTTTGCTAACTGTTTTAAAGTTTACATACATTCTTGTCATGCATCCCTAATATTCATACATCTAACAGTTAATAGTTTGCGGAATTTAAAGTGCGGAAAGTAAAGCTAAGCTATTACAAGGCTTTGGGTATTTATATAGCCAAAAACAAACCCGTAAAACAAAAGCGATAAATGAAAGTAAAAGTCCTAATTTAAACTATTACAACTTTTGAGCAATTACATCAATATGGCAAAATAAGATAATAAAGTGCACGCAATGAAATTAAGAACGATAAGAAATTAGGGTTTTGACCCCGTCTAACCTAATCGAGAAAAGAAATTATTATTTTTTGTTATTTGTATTTGTTTAAGGAAAAGTATAAGATTTTTTTATTAAATACAAAAATTAGTTAGTAATTAGAAAAATTAAATTTAACCTATTTTTGTGTTTTTTGTTAATTTTAAGAAAAAGAAAATACAATTAAGTTAGAAGCAAAAACCCTAATTGTTCTAATTGCTTTTAATTTATTTACAAAATAATTTAAGTTACCTAAAATTAAATATCCTAATTTAATTAATTATTTTTTTGATAAAAAAATAAACCTAAATCTAATTGGGTGAAAAACATTATTTTTATGATTTTTTGAATAAAAGAAAAAATTAATTTGTTAGTAAAAAATAATTTAAATGAAAAAAATGGAAAATATAAAGAGAAAGAGAAAAGAGATTTGGGCCTGGTTATGAGTAATTGGGAGGTGTAGATATCAATTCTGGCCCAAGAAGCAATTGATCCATGTTGACTTGCTGGATCCCTTGCCATGCGTTGACTAGGTCACATGATAGGTCCCTCAATGATGGCCTTCGGATCTGGATGGTTGGTGATCTAATGGTTAGGAGATGACGCCCCACGGTGGCTTTCATGCCTTGTGGAACATGGGATCTGTAGAGAAAATTCAAGAAAAATGCAAATGTTGGAGGCAGGGGTCGAACCCCTGACCTCAAGCCCTCCAATGCCTTAGCGCTTACCTGGCCACCACTGGGCCATTTGGTTCAATTGGTTATTAATTGAAACAAAAATAATAAAATGAATAAACAACGCTAGCTGTAAAACACGCACGAGAATTCAAATGCACGAATGAGATGGATCCACGTATGTCATCTTCTTCCTCTCTCCGTTGGTAAAAGTCACAGACTTTTACCTACTGACATATGTCCATTGCTACAGATCCTGCAATTCTCAAAATCCAACACAAGCAAGATAAATAAAATCTAAGGCCATGAATTGATTCTTCTTGGCCTGCTGAGTACGATGGTACCCTTCTTGAGGGCTAATTTCACTTGTACGCAAAGATCCCAAATCGAGCCAACAAAACCTAGCAATGGTGAATCTTGGTAGAGTCCACAAAAACGAAATTAAATGGTATAGACAGCTTGCAAATGTGTTAATGAACAAGATTATACCATTAAAACATGATGAATATGCAAGAATAACAAGATTCAATTTTGGAAATATAGGAAAACCGCGGGAGTCGTGGGGACGAATTATGGGCACTAGCGCGCTTGTTTTTTATTGGTACTACTTGCTTGCACTCTCAGGAAGTGAATGGGATGGTCAGGAAGCCTTGTAATTTCCTGGAAGTGTGACATCGAGATTGCACTTTTTGTGATTTTTTTCAAGTTTGGTTCTTGTTCT